GCCCACAAGGCCCAGCGCGGCCCCACCCGCCTCCCCAGGCGTGCCTTATCAGGCAGAGCCGAGCTGGACGGTGGGGGCAGAGAGAGCAGGGCCCGGGAGATGCCTGCCTCCCCCCTGGTGGGCAGGGCCTGTGGGCGGGCGGAGGCCAGGTGGCCTGCTCAGAGGACCCCAATATTGGGGGCCCCTGGGGAGGCTTGACTCCGGGCCTCGATGGCTCCCCCACTCCCCACATCCGTGTTTGACTAGGCTGACGGAGCCAGGCTGGGCCAAGGGTCAGGCCTGAGTCCACTCGGGTTGTGGGCCGAGGGTGGGGCACGGTCCACCCAGGTAGGCCTTCGGCGTCAGGGAAAGCAGGCAGGGGCGGCCAGGGGTCGGGACCTGAGGCCCCAGGAAGTCGAGCTGTGGCCTGCCTGGCTCCCAGTCCTGCCCCGGAGGCTCGCGTCCCACTCACCCCAGCGCGGAGACTCAGGGCCTGAGCGGGCCAGACCTGCCGCCCTGCACACACTGAGTCACGCGTGGGCCTCCAGCGGGCTTTCCGCGCTGTCCCCATCGGGGACTGAGTCACCGGCCTCCGGGGACTGGGTACAGGTGTCCCGGGGCTGGGCCCTCCCACCCACCAGCTGGGGCGCCTGGGGAGGGGGCCGAGCCTCGGGAAGCAGCTGCTGGGGCTCCGCCAGCACACGGCTGCCAGGTATGCAGAGCAGGCTGCTCCCGTGTACGCTGAGAACATGCGTGTCCCAGCAAGCCGGCCGGCTTCGCGGGAACTCTGGTACCCGGTGGGGTGGGTGGGCTCCCCCCCCTCCTGTGGTCTTCTGTGCTGGGCCCCTATTGCCTTGCCACTGGGAGCACGTGCCACCCCGGGGTGCTGCTGGTGGGCGCCCCATGGTACCATGCCCACCTGTGTCCCCTCCCCGCGGCCGTGCTGACCCTCAGCTGCGGCTGCAGGTGAGCGAGGGGACTCCGGCAGGTGCTTCTGGCTCCAGTGCCCATGTCTCCCTCCTCCAGACCTGCAGCCCAGCCCGCTCCCACCCCCACCGCCCCACGGGGGCTCCGGGCAGAGGGGACTCTGGGGTTGGCCTTGAGGGCCCTTCAGAGCCTCCAGGGCGTCCTGGACGGGGCCCCAGGCACGCTGGGCGAACGCGGGCACGAATTCTGAGACCCCTCAGATACAGCAGGAACAGGGGGCTCCCCAGTCATACGTGCACATGGATGTGCACAAACACACACGCTCAGCACACACACCAAGCCCGCAGTCAGTGGGGGCTCCGTGGCTCTCCTGCCTCACTGTGTGTGTGTGTGTGTGTGTGTGTGTGTGTGCATGCATGCGGGCTCAGGGGCACACGTGGGACACCCTCCCCACGTCAGGCTGAGGAGACCCCAGGACACGCTGCCCGACGGCCCCACATCCGGTACCTGTGCAGGTGCCTCCATTCTCCCGGTGCGGTGGCCAGGCTGCAGCAGCTCCCGCCGGTGACGGAGGGATGTGGCCCGGCACCGGCTGGGCTGCCTCCTATTTATAACAGGCTGCACGGGCGAGGTGCTGGGGAGGGGCCAGCTGCCCGGGCAGCCCTGCCTGCTCTGGACACGGAAGGGGAAAACTCTGGGGGCCGGGAGGGAGTCCCTCCCCTTGGTGCGTGCCCGGGACCCTGACCCCCGCTGGGAATGAGGGGGTTCAGGCTTCTGGAGGGAGGGAGACGAGAGGCCTGTGATGGAGTGGGACCCCCTTGGATGGCAGTTCTGCACCTCCCTGAGCAGAGCTCTTGGCCCTTAAGGTCAGGTCTCCCTGAGGCCAGACACCTGCTCTTCCTGCTCCTGCGGACCCCTCAACCCCTGCTTTCGCCTCCTGTCAGGCCTGCCCAGCTCACTCCACCGGCTCTGAGCACAGGCGTTTGTGGCCAAGGTGTCCCCCAGGGCCAGCCACCCAGCTGCTGGGACGGGCACTAATTCCGGGACCACCCTGGGGCCTGGGTGTGGAGATGGCACTCGGAGCCCCAAGGCACCCGGCACAGCCTCCCCGTCGGACACTGAGGCCACCACTGACCACACCACCCACCGCGGTGCCACCCTGATGCCAAGGCCATACCCTATACCCTGAGGCTGCACACCACGTGCACTGACATGCCCTGTTACCCACAAAGGGGACCTGCCACGTCATGGCCACACAAATGCTAAGACCACACACACCACACACCAGCAGCACACACCACCTTCATGGCCCAAATGGAGTCATCTCTGAGGCTGACATCCTCGGCCCACGTGTGGACGCGTGAGGCCAGATGGGGTCCAAACCCCTGCCCCCAGGGGGACCCACAGTCTGTGCTCCCACTGGGGGATCCTCACCGTCCCCCACAACCAGAACTACAGCCTGGGCCCTGGTGTGAGGGGTCCGTGCAGGCCCGACTGCTCCCTCCTCCCCTGGCCAGGCCCTGGGTCCCTGGCACCCTAACCCCCAGTCAGTGCCGAGGTCTGCGGGGCCGGGCCGGTCGGCTCTGGGGAGGGGGGAGGTCACCGGCCTCATGGCTCAGAAAGAGGTGGGTGCTCCCGGTGACGTGCCGGGGGCAGGGCTGGCCCTGGCCTCACAGGGTGTGGGTGCGAATCACGACGAAGTCACTGCGACCTTTCAGGAATTACTCAGCCTCTGGAGCCGTTTCCGCTCCCCGTGGAGGCGCCTCTCCCTGTGCAGGCTCCGAGGGGAACCCCCAGCCTCTTAGAAGGAAAGAGGTGCAGGGGGAGGAAGCGAGCTGGTTCCCACGCTGGCTCCCTCGGCTGGTTTGCCCGGCTGAGGGATGACGAACAGGCAGGGCTCAGGCCGGCCCTGCAGCAGCCGCTCGGTCCCGTCTCAGGTGCCCTGGATGTGCCAGAGTCAGGCGAGCTGCCCTCCGCCCTCTGCCCTAGGTCAGGGCTGGGCCCGTCGGTGCTTGGTGTCCACCTGAGAGCCAGGTGGCCCAGCACAGCGACGGCCCCTCTGGATCTGTCCCGGCCGACGACTACCTTCTGCCTCACAGTCGACAGGCAGCATCTTCCCCTGGCACAACCCGTGGGGGACCCCCACCCCCCACATGGTCCTCTCCCGGGCTGCCCCTTGAAGGGGTGCGGGGGGGCAGTGTGCTGACCTATCTAGCTACCCAGCCCCCACCTTGTCCAGACACCAACCTTCCCGCTGCCCCATGTCTGCCACCCGCCTGCCCCTCTGAACGTCCCCCATGGTGGGAGGGTTCCCTGTGGGACTACCCTCCTCTCAACCCAGGCTCTGCCGCCCCCCAGGGCCAGGGAGGGGCCGTGGGAGCCGAAGCGGGCCTCGCCGCCTGTCCACTGGTGCATAATGACCCCATTCATGGGCTGGGTGGAAGACTCGCCCGGAAACAGTGGAAGAATTTTTATGAGAACAGCTCTCCCCAGGGGCAGGGGCCGGGCAGACGTGCCCACAGCGGGTCCCACCTGGCACAGGTTCCGGCAGAGGCTGCCGCGGGGCACCCAGGGCTGGACGCTCAGGGGCCATGGGCCGGTTGGCTCACTGATGGGCCAGGGCCCTCCTCTGTTAAGTGCGTAGAATAATTGGGCCCCCAGCCAACTGGGAGGAGCCATTATTATTATTATTACTATTATTATTTTACATTTTAATATGTTTGTATTGATGGTTAGAGAGAGGGGAAGGGAAAGGGATAGACATCAGCTAGAAACATCACGGATGAGCCGCCTCCTGCACCGCCCCTTCGGGGGATGGAGTGCGCAATCCGGGCATGTGCCCTGAGCTGGAACCGAACCGTGACCTCTGGGTTCCTGGGCCGACGCTCACCATTGAGCCACACCGGCCGGGCTGGGAGGATCCTTTGAAAGGCGGCGGGGCCCAGTGGCTCAGGGGTCACCCTTTATCCGGGCCTGTCTGTCTCGGATTCTCCTGAGCCGGAATCCTGGGGAGTAGAGTGTCCGGAGCTGGGGAGGGGGTCAGGGACCCCCTTGGTCCATGTCCCCGACGCTTCCCGCAGGAGGGGGCTGTGGCGGCGCGAGGCCCGGGAGGGCGATGGCCGCCGGATCGATCACACCTGCCGCCGGGGTCCGGGTACATCCTGGCGGAGCTGCCGCCAGTGCGCACGCGTCGAGGCCCCGCCTCCCTGGGCGGGGGAGGGAGCAGCGAGACGAGGGCAACGGCCTCCGGGCTGCCTAGAGCGGCCGCCGAGCGAGCCGCGCACCGGAACCGGAAGCGAGGATGACCCCGCCCCCGGACGGCCATCTTGGAAGCTGAGGCGGCGGCGGCGGCGCTGCGGCGGGGCGGTGGGCTCGGTCCCCGGCGGTGCGGCTCTCCGGCGCGGGCCCCACTCTCCGCTCCTGCTCCGGCCTCGACCTCGGCGAGCCTGAGCGCGGCGGCGGCCCACGCGCGGCGGCGGGGAGAGGTGAGCGCGCCGCCGGCCTGCGGCGGGGCCTCGGTCGCGCGTCCGATCCGCGGGAGCCGGCCCGCGGGGGGCCAGGGCGCGGGTCTCGGGGCCCCTGGGTGCCCACCCCGCCCGACCCGCCGCTCGCGGGGCTCCGCCCGGAGGCCGGCGCGGAACCCGAGGTCGGTTGCGGCGGGCGCCCGGGGCTGCCGGCCGGGTGGTCCTGCGGCAAACTCGGCACTCGGTTGGCCGGCCGCACGGTGGGTCCCTTCCGGAAAGGCGCCCGTCAGTGCCGCGCGCGGGCACCTCCCGGCGGGCCGGCGGGGCGCTCGGTGTGGATGTGTCCGGGTCCGTTGGGGCGGCCGCGGGGGTGCCGTTCCGCCGCCGCTCCGCCCTGACAGTTAGAACCGCCTCGGCCTCCGCAGCCCCGGGAGGGAGTGTCCGGGGTCCCGCCCGCCCTGGCGGGGCAGGAGGGCCATGCAGGCGGGAGAGCGGGAGCCGGGGTCGGAGGACTCTCCATCCCGGCAGCCGGAGCGGGACTCGGTCCCCGACGGACAAGTTCCTGTCGATATCCGGTCCACTCTCCTCTTCGAATGACCTGCCTCCTCCCAGACTCTGGCCACATGTAAA